TTGTCAGCTGACTTGCCGCCCTTCTCTCTATGTATTACTGATTAAAGTTTGTGCCCTCCTGTCTGCTGCTCCCACGATGTTCTCGTCTTCAGCAGTGGACTGAGATGACGTTGTGTGGCTGCCAGGCGCGCGTTTTACCTGGTGACACCATCAGCTGGTCACTGAGTGCACTGCCGCCAGCTGGGGTACGGGCGGCTCGTCTCTGAGCGTGCACTGCCGCGAGCTGAGGTACGAGTAGCCAGTCCACTGACGTTGTCCACCTCTCTGCCGTCAGACGGCGGCTAGCCTGGGCTGGGCGGCGTTCACCGGCTCCAGTTCCTCATCGGCGGCCGGCCGCTGCCGTACGACATGACCGTCTTCCAAGCGGTGGAGCAGTTCGGCCAGCACGCGGACGCAGGCCGGCCCCGAGCAGACAGTCAGCGCCACCGAGCTGTTCGAGACGACACACACCATCCACTACAGGTGCGCTGCGCTGGCGGGGGCGTGAAGTCTTATGGTAGGCAGTGACCTGTTGACCTCTTCGAGGCCATTGGCCCTTGAAGATGTAAATGATCATTTAGTGTCGTCGCTCGTGGATGCGTGCTGTTCGAGCTGTCAACACGCGTACACTGGTCCATAACCAAGAGATGTGCTCCCACATTGCATACGCTTGAGGCTCGGATTAAAAAGCGCCCCGGACGCTTGGATCAAAGTCGAAATGTCAGTGTATGCTTTCGACGACGCGTCTTTAATCGTGATTTTGCCCCACCCTTTGAGACCATGCGCCGCCGCACGACCACCGCTGCTCACTCGCCACGTGACCCGTGCCCAGGCTAGCTCCAATAACGAGCAGCAGCGCCGGCGGCCGCTGCGAGGCTCGGGACAGACAGACGGGCGGCGGCAGCGGCGGCGAGCGCCGGAGCGCGGACGCGCTGTGGTCGGCCGCGGCCGTCCCCGCGCCCTCCTGGCCCCCTCCTGCCGTACCTCACCGCACGTCTGCCGTCGACCGTCACCGTCGACGACCCGTGCCTGGAGACGCTGCAGCTGCTGCGGCTGCTGCACGCCCTCTCGCGACACTACGGCACCCTCTACCACATGGAGCACTGTCCGCCGCTGCTCTCGGAGCAGGTAACGCTCGCCGAGTTCTGTCTGTGTGTTGGCGCCCAGGTCCCTGCTGATGCTGGAGCAGTTTTGTTAGGCTTCAATGGCCACTGAGAATCGCATATGCATGCGCTGTTGTTTTATGTAACTATCGTTATATTTCGTTGAATGCCTGAAACATGAGGCATTCGTGTCATGCTAGCCCTCCCGCCCATTGACGTGGTGTGCTGGATCTTTTCAGGAGTTTATCAACAGTCAGCTGACGGCCAAGGCCAGCCGTCAGCTGCGGGATCCTCTGATCCTCATGACCGGCAGCACGCCGCAGTGGATCCAGCAGATCGGGCTCACATGGTAACATATCCCCAGAATAGGACAGGCGCTCGAACACAGCCGCGACAAGGGCGTCGCGCGAGCCGTTTGGGCGGCCAGCTGCTGGCAGCCTGGCCGCGCCTATTACTTGATGAGCCGATGGAGTACAGGCCGCGCGGAAAATTTTTGTAGTAGTCGCTAATGCAGACACATTACGCACATACATTTTGTTCCTGTAGCAAGGCGTCTGCGAGACCAGATTGCTGTGAAAACTGAAATGAATAGTAATATTTCAGACATCACGGTCCTTCCGTAAATGCGATTTCATTTTGAAATACAGCTTTACGAGGCCATGTTTATGTGTACCTGAGTGGATCTTTTAATGAGCCGAACGTACGTAATGACGCAAGAAATCAGCTGTGGTTTGCAGGTACTCAGCACTCGGGAAACATTCGTAGTTTCGTCGACAATGTCATGAAGCCAATAACTTACTTAAAGATCCGACAAAATGAGCCCAGCGCTGCTTCCGTCATGCGGACTGCCCGCTGGACGTTCTGACGCTCCTGCACCGGGTAGTGCCGTGCGGTCGTGGCGCGCCCTGTGACGTGCCGTGCGGTCGTGGCGCGCCCTGTGACGTGCCGTGCGGTCGTGGCGCGCCCTGGCCCGGTCCCCAGGGAAGTGACCTCCCCTTGCGTGGCGCCGGAGTCGCTAACCCTGGCCTCCCGCGCAGCCCGTTCGTGTTCCCGTTCGAAACGCGCCGGCTGCTGTTCTTCACGGTGGCGCTGGACCGGGACCGGGCGCTGCTGCGTCTGCTGGAGGCGGCGCCGGCGGCGCGCGGTGCTGACGCCGCCGAGCGTCGCCTGGCGCCGCGGCTGGAGCGGCGCCGGCGCACCGTTAGCCGCGCCCAGCCGGCGCGCCAGGCCGAGACGCTGCTGGCAGAGCTGGCCGATTCGCGTGCCCTGCTCGAGCTACAGTACCAGGGCGAGCCCGGCTCTGGGCTCGGCCCCACCCTCGAGTTCTACTCGCAGGTCTGCGCCGACGTGCAGGTGAGGGGGCGACGCCCGCCGCTGGTGCCCGCCGCTGGCGCACGTCGCTGGAGCACACCACTGGTGTCCGCCGCTGGTGCCCGCTGCTGGTGTCCGCCGCTGGTGCCCGCTGCTGGTGTCCACTGCTGGCGCCCGTCGCTAGTGCCCGCTGCTAGCGACCAGCCGGTGGGTGCCTGCCGCTGGTGCACGCCGCTGGTGTACGCTGTTGGTGCACGCCGCTGGTGCACGCCCGCCGTTGCCATCCTCTGGTGACCGCCGCTGGTGCCCGCCGCTGGTGCCCGCCGCTGGTGCTCGCTGCTGGTGCACGCCGCTGGCGACCGCTGATTCGCTGTTGGTGTGAAGAATGTACATATTTGCTGACTTCATAGTTCATACTCATGGGCGCAGCTAGAACTTGCGATGGAAGGAGGCTACCATGATTCCCGATGGGGTGGGGTGGGGTGGGGGAGGGGGTGGGCGGGGCACTAATTTTTTAAGAGTGAGTCCCAACCCCATCGGTAGTACCTTTACATGGCAAACAGACTAACAGACCGCACAATGCTGAAAGGCACAGTAAATATCGTACCAATGGGCTATCGATATTGATTTGCCCTGGCGCCTCAAACCATTGTTTCAGCTTCGTGCCGTGCAAATTCACTCTGCTATTCACTGATGTTGTTACCAAATTACGGGCTGTTGGACTCAACATGTCGCTGTCCATGGTACAGTATATGATGCTTTTTACCAAAAATAGTATTCATGGTGATCAAATACCAGAATTGTATTCAGATGTATCGTGGTGAAAACCTGCGCTTTAACTTGGCAAGGGGGGGGGGGAAGCCCCTTGAGTCCCTTCCTCTGGCTGCCTCACTGCTCATGCTTCCCGTTATGTTGTGGAGCAATAAGCTTATTGCTGATTGTATTGTCTTATAGTCCTAGTTGCAGCTGCTCACAAAATGGTGCTGGCACATCTTTTATAATATCTAATAGCACGATTTTGCTTGAAACCTACCGGCCTTTATGCGTTTAACATCTATTGTACTGATAAAGGTTTTAGCAATGATATCCTACCTTAGAAGCGGGCAGTTACCCGCCACCGTCGCCTGACACGAGCCTCTTGGTCGCAGAGGACGGACATGGGCCTGTGGCGCGGCGGCTCGTGGCGGGCCGGCGGCCGAGGCGGCCGACGGCGGCGCGAGCCCCGCCGCCAGCCGCGGCCCGCCCGGCCCGGAGTACGTGCACGCCCCGCTCGGCCTGTACCCGGCCCCGCTGGGACGCGCCGATAAGTCGGCCTGCGTCGCCCGGCTGCGCACCAAGTACAGGTTCCTCGGTACGTGCCACGGGCCGGGCTTCGGGTCGGAGCCGGCGAAGGTGGTCGAGCTGGTGCACGGCGGGCCTAAAGTGCAGCTTGTCTTTTTCATTGAACCATTCGATTGAAATTTTGCGTTTGGAAGTATGTAATCGCTACATCGAAACGAATTCAATGGGTGAAAGCTGAATTAAACGTGAAGTATGCTAGAGCTGACTTTGGTAATACAGAGTCGGAGCCGCCATCAGTTTGGCCTTATGCCAACCGTTGTACACTGTCACTAAGTGGCTGGGTTAGCCTTGAGTTATTGGCGATTGTGTTTGATAGCGCAGCCTGCTACTTAATGGCGCTAGCCCTTTATCAGGTCGTGTCGTCCTCCAGAATCATAACCACGCCCCTGAGAGCGCCGTCCCGCGTCCTGGATCTGTCCGATGACGCCCCCAGCGGTATAAGCCCGGCCACTGAAAGCCCGTTGTCTCGGTACACAGGGCGCCTGATGGCCAAGGCGCTGAACGACGGGCCGTCTGCTGGACCTGCCGCTGAGCGTGCCGTTCTACCAGTGGCTGCTGCGCCAGGAGCGCTCCATGACGCTGGCCGACGTGCAGCAGCTGGACGCGTCGCTGGCGGCCACGCTGTCGCAGCTGGCGGCCGTGGTGCGCCGCCACCGCCAGCTGCAGGCGGACCCGGCGTTGAGCGGCGAGCAGCGACGCGCCGCCGTCCGGGAGCTGGGCGTCGACGGCTGCTCGGTGGAGGAGCTGGGCCTGGACTTTACACTGCCCGGGTATCCGGCCATTGAGCTGAAGCGGGGTGGCAGGGGCGAGACGGTCACCATCCATAACCTGGACCAGTACCTCAAGGTGGGCCACAGCTCGGGTCAGCGTCTCAAGTTGTGTCGTAGCTGTCACGGACGCTTTTGGGAAGGTCACAGGCTGCACTGGTATCGCCTGGTACATGGATAAAGGCTGAACCATCGTCATTCTTGCTCGCATCGGGAGGCATGAATGGCGTGTAGAAAGATTACTTATAATCTTGTTCCATCGCAGATACTTCTCAGAAAGCTTCATTTCCGCAATTGCCTGTTTGTGCAAAGTTTAGCTGCCAGGGCCATTCTTTCCATGCTGAAGGAACAAACATTACTGTGCACCTTGTTGACTGCTTTCGAAGAGTGAACACACGCCTTGGTATGTTCCAGCTGCTGACACACTGGCTTCTGATTGAGAGCGTTCAAAAACAAATGGAGGCGTTCAGGGAAGGCTTTGAGTCGGTCCTCTCCTGGATCACCTAGCTATGTTCCTGCCAGAGGAGCTAGATCAGCTCTTCTGTGGCAGTCAGGTATGCTAACGGTTGTATTTCCTTACGAAGGATCGATTTGCACAATTTTCCAATCATGTGCACTTTTCTCCTGGATTCTTGGGGATTTGTTAGTAAAATACAGGTAGTGCATTTTTTTCACAAGAAATTCAGCCCTAGCTTCTTTCATCTTTGTTTTTGTATTTTACCCTACCCCCTTTACCTCGCTTGGTGCGCGCTTTGTCGAACAATATATCTAAATGAAAACATGCATATCCCTCCGCATGAGCCGATTGCCGGCGCCCGTTGCGTCGTTAGTGGTCGGCCGCGGGTGACTGTGCCTGACCCGACCTGACCTGACCTGACCTGACCTGATCCGATCCCGCAGGACAGCCAGTGGGACGAGCGGACCCTGCTCGAGGCCTTCCGGCCCGACCACGGCTACACGTCTGAGTCGCCGCCGTTCCTGTACCTGGTGCGCGTGCTGTCCCGCCTGGACAGCCAGCAGCGGCGCCACTTCCTCAGCTTCGCCACCGGCTCGCCGCGTCTGCCCGTCGGAGGTGAGCCAGTGAAGCCCCTCGCCTCGGCCCGTTAGCACCCGCGTCTGGGAGGAATCCCCGCCGTGTTCCGAGCGAGCGCTGACCCTCCATTAAGGGGTTAAGCCTGAAGTCGCCAGCCGGTCTGAGGTATAACTCCGTGAGTGGGATGTTGCATGTTCACATATTACTCTGATGGTCGCCATCTTTCCTTTTGTAAACCCGGGTGGGATATGTCGTGAACACGCATTAGTTGGTCCAGTTGGATTCTTGAAGCAGCGATGTGATAAGCAACCACAATATCATACAAGAGTTAGCGGAAGTCGGTTTAAGCATTATTTAGCACAGGACAATTAGTACCATGCCGTCTCCGGCTGCTCGTCATTGCCGTCTATGGGGACGGAGACGATGGTTAGCGGTCCGGAAAATATACCCTGTAATATACCCTGTGCGTTTGTTTCGAGCCGACCTACATATCCTCTTTTCTTCTCCTGCCTTTCCCATTCTACCAAACATGACCTTCACGATGCCCCTCTGCTGGCGGTGGAGAGAGCTCCGTTTGCCCGGCTGGCGAGAGCCGCTCAGTACGGTCCGGCCGCTGCCGCAGGGTTTCGCGCGCTGGCCCCGCCTCTGACCGTGGTCCGCAAGACGGTGGAGTCGGGCCGTCGGCCGGACGACTACCTCCCTTCGGTGATGACGTGCGTCAACTACCTGAAGCTGCCCGAGTACAGCAGCGCCGAGGTGACGCGCCGGCGGCTGACCACCGCCATCAATCAGGGGCGGCTGAGCTTCCTGCTCTCCTAGCGGCCGCCCGTCGAACTCGTGCTTCTGCCATTGGCCGCCTGCTTCGCACCGTCTGCTCACTGCCAGCGCAACGGACTTACCTCACAAGCAGAGTTTGTGGTAAAGGGGATGCAGAACGCCACCGGCTGAGCCCTCGCTGTGGAGATAGCTCACGGCGGGCGGAAATGCCTCGGCTTGTGCGTCGCGGTGCTCCAGACCATCGCCGGGTATACCTCAGCTGCGTCAGTGTTGTCGCCCAGCGGCGAAAGCGGTGCGAGCGAGAGCTCGCACTCCGGCCGTAGAGCGGAACGTCCGCGGCTTCCTGAGTCAGCCAGCTGTGATTCGGAGCTCTGATGAAACTGCGGCCTTCCGACGCACCACCCTTCTGGTGGACTCACGCAGCGGAATGTTCGTCAGTAAAACGTGTGCCAAAGGGGACGAAATGGGGTAGTTAGGGCTGCAACTGAACTTCCAAGAGCTCTTACTGCTTTGAGTGCAGTCTGAAGAAAAGGAAATACGCAGCGGAGTTTTGTCCTGAACATCGAACCACTCATGTACGAGCAAAGATCAACCAACGGTGCGCTTCTCAGCGGGTGGTAATTTTTCTGGTACACATTGCCGTGATTAGCTGCCCGCAAAAGGTTTTGCGCAGGGCATGCATAGAGTGATAACCATAAAATATATCTGAGTTAAGGTTTTGAGCCTGTCTGGTACAGTCATGCGCCTGGATCACATGTATGGATCCGGGATACAATAGGGTTCTACGTGAACAGGATCCTGGGATCAGGTTTAGTGATCTTTTGTTGGGTTCCAGACACATGTCTAGTTCGGTGTTCGTAATGCATTAAGGCTGGAAATGCATGTGCTTAACCATGTCAGAAGCTGAAAACACCTGCGTAAATACGAATGCACAGATCCTGGAAAGCTCGCTTTGATGTAAAACCCTAATCGAATTATCGGCTCCAATCTGATCCGGGTAATGGTGCTAATTACCTTCAATGCCAGGAGGCACTTTTGATACAAGCGTTAAGTGGTTCTATTTTAGGGCATTCGGTTTTGTGTTTTGGGGATGAAGTCGGGGCCACAGTTTTCAGCGCATAATCACGGCTGGTTTTGTTGCACCCTCAGTCCCTTTGAGCTGTTTTGTACAATTTCGGATGAAAATAAATGTGGTTACCATAACGCGTCTGTTGTGCGCCGCATCTCCTGCGTGCTACACTGCGGTCTGCCATGAGAAAGACCGAGCGGTTGACGACCGTGGTTGGTTGGCGTTTGAAACCATCACCGCATGACGTGCGATGGATGTCATCGATCGCGTTCCATGTTCGTTGGAGACGTCCCTTTGTGAGCAGGCGTCTCGTAGCTGCGTGATTGGAGCAGCCGACATCCAATACTTGTTATGGAAATGCATGTGCTTTGCATTGCAGCCTGCAGCCCTTCGTTAGTCTTAAAATTTGCAGACAAACAGCGCTCTTTCCTCGTGCAAATGGCACAGAGCGAAGCGATACTGCTGTGTGGTCGAGAGATTGCTGTCACTGCCGGCGGTTTATACATGTTAACAGTCCTACGGTATAAGTTTAACGAAACTTACGAGTTGTATAACCGAGATTATGGGAGCTCGAAAACAGGGATCACATTTCTCTATCAGTTGCAGTGTTTTTACCCCTGAAAATCCGCCCAGAATGTTGGTTGATGTATAACTTGTTAGATCCATCCACAATAGAAGATGATTGCGAATGCAACATACATAGTGGCAGAACGCATGCGCTATCTGCGACCACCTTATGTTATATGCTCTGACTGAACATGTCCACACTTTGAGCAGAGCAATACTTTTTCATTAAGAAACGATATCGTTCACGTTCCAAGCTCGTTGGACGACACATCCTTGTGCTGTAACACAAGGCAAAGTAATCCGTAGTGAAGTGCATACAAGGCACAAGGTCGACGAGGTATCTGCATATGCACGCATGCCAGCTGAGCGATACTTGAATTCAGCAGCATAATGCACAAATAAATGAATGTGTTATCATCGCATTAGTTGTGAGCGTAACAAGAACGCAAGGCAATGCTAGTTTGTGTGTTTTACCCTCGCCGCCGGCTAGCCGACTGCTCAGCCATCGACCCGCGCCCCGCCAACTGTGCCCCGAGGGCTGGCGGACCATGTGACCCGTCTGGCGGGCAGCGGTCCGACTTCGGTGGCGTCTGGCGGAGTTACCGAGAATCAGCTGGCGACGAACAGCCGGGCCTCAGCAGCGAAGACTGGGGCGTCAGACGTGCTACGCCGGATATCTACGTGGGTGATGTTCGGCCCCGCTGGGGCATGGCGGGGAGCGGCGCCCGGCCACCGCGGCGCACTCTGTAACAGACCACACACGCACGCGTCCGAGGGAGAGGGAGGGGGAGAGGAATGGGAGCACACTCGGTCAAAAGGCTGCAACAACCTAGCACGGCCGTGCAAGCTGACAGCGGAGTAAAAAGGTTGGCTGGTTGCAATTCTACTGAAATTTACGATTGCCCCTACAGACCTGGCTAAACGTCTATGGACAGCAGCAATTTCTAAGGTCTGAAATAGCGCAGTGCTAGCACGTTTATTTGCCCTGATTCCGGGAATGACCGTACGAAAAAAACACGAATCAAACCACACGGTCCGGGTAACCTAACGCCTGGAGGTGGTTATCTGGAGACAGCAGCTCCCCCAGGTTTCAGCCGTCTGTCGCAGATACGTTGGCTTCTCCGGTTGGGACGGCAGCCGACAGCCGCCTTCCCGCCACGTCGCCCCGCCGTTGGCGAGCCCACGACGACCCTCCGGTGCCGGCCAGATGGCGCTGCCCGCCATCCGCCTGCCACAGGTGTCGCCGCGCGCCGTGGCCCGGCGGCCGGCGTCAGTTCCGCGCCTGCCCGCCAGGGCGCGGGCCGAGTGGCCGACGGTCGAACGTCGTGACGGCGGTCGCCAGGGCAGTGAGCTTCGAGACGGCGGCCGGTGAGCGGCGCTGCGCCCGCGGCGACTCGACCGACCGGCACCGTGTCGAGGCATGCCCGGCGGGGGCGGGGTGAGGCGCGGTGACCAGGCGCCGGCTGCCCGGCCGCTCCGCTAAGGTTCCAGATAAGCCCAGGTGAGTGCCGGTACAGTGTCACTCGCTTCGCGGTAGGAAGCGTGCAGTCTGGTTGTTGAGCAAGATCGTCCTTGTTTTGCTTGGACCGACGATGGCCTATGCTATTTCTAAATCAAAATATTATTATTTGGTCGGGCAAGGACTGCTGAAGATGTTTGGCAGCCTTACTGCTGAAAGAGGAGCCTCACCTTGCGGAGTGACGACGAATTTAAAATCTGAATTTGTTTTGGCACCAGTGGTAGTTGTTCTTTACAGAGGCCCGCAATCCATGCCTTTATATTTCGCCAGAAAAGCAAAGCTCTGAATCGGCAACCGTGTTTAGGTGCCATTTGACTGATTACATTGTTTGCTTTGTTTATTTATTTTGCTGATTTGAGGTGCTTTATTCAATGGATAGGTATTCCGAGAGGGCAGGAACGTCAGGGAACGAGGGAAGGAGTGGCTGCTCCTCACTGTTGGGAAGGCAGACGACGTTAGCCAGCTATTGGTGTATGGAGCGAACTGCATTGAGGGCCGTTCTGACACTGAGCTAACTCTCGTTTCGTTGGTTGGTCTACCATGCTGCGACCTTGTAGTAAAACCAAATGGTAATTCAAGTATAACGCGCAGAACACTAGCCTTGATTTTTAAGATGTCGCAAACATGATCTTGCTTTTCGTTGGCTTCACTGACACAGTTGGCGGACCGAAAGCATTGAGCTGTCGATTGAATTGCGGAATGTCCAACAAGCATCACAATGTTAGCGTCAGTATGTAACAAATCAGTATCAGTTGCCAATGTAGGGTTTACTTAAAACTGAAATAGAAGTGATGTAACCTGACCTGAGCCCCATACAACGGTACGCAACCATACTCGTCTGAACCCCATACACCATACACGTACGCCCCAAGGGGACAGCAGCAACTGCCATCCCTGCAAAAGTGAAGGTCTCTACTTGCCCAGACTCAGAGTGCACGGGTCAGCAAGCCCGGCTGCCCCCGACAAAGCACAGCTGTCCTGGCGGAAGGCAGGTGGGGCTGGACTAGCGCTGGCCAGGGCCAACCATTCCCTGTGATGCACGTTAGATCCAGCTGTTTGTTTAGGCCCGAGGCCTGCCTGCACTAGGGCCTCCTCCATCGCGGTGTGTATGGGTCTTGTCGAGTTCTTTGTTTGCCCTCGCGCTCCTCCGTCGGCCAGGTCGTTCCTTCTGTGGTCGGGACGTCTGTCGGTGGGCCGCTGCTGGGTGGCAGGTGTAGGGCGGCGGCTCTCCTCATCAGGTCTCGAAAACCACCGGGCGGAGCAGCCTGTTACCTGTGATACTCTCGTTGCGAGACCGAGCCGGTGCCGATGCAAAATAAACGGGGCGAAAACCCCTTGCTGTGCAGGAGTGGGCGTTAATGCGACCTTGGTGGGACAAATGATGCATGTGCCACGTGGTAATTTGGACGGCAGCCGTGCGAGGTGGACCGATGCCAAGCCGCTGCTCTGAAACCGTTCCACGATCGCAGATGGCAACTGGTGGGCAACCTGATGCCGTAAATGGCGACTAGAAAACAATCCAACTCCGGCAACAGTCGTCTCGTCGCCTAGTGTTGGAAATAACATTATTTCGTTTACATGCCCTACAGTAGCGGTCAGCATCTAAGGGCTGTCATCAGTCACGTTGCGGCTTCCTTGAACTCCAGAATAAGTTCAGCGGGCTGGAGATTGAATCCCCCGTTTAAGTTCTCCTTCTGGTAAAGTCGTGACCTTGAAAGCCAAGTGTGACGTCAAGTGTCTCTTCTCAAATCCTTATTATAATCCTGCGAACGGATGCCAATCATCGTCTGCAGCCAATCCAGCTGTATTGTGTTCCTTTGCGCAGAGGTCCGGGATGTTTATACAAACCATCCACTGCCCGCACCAGCCAGACGCTCTCCTGCGACTAGTCAATACTCATGAACGTTTCAGAGGCGAAAACGTCGACAAAATCAAAATTGCGCCGCATGAAAATTACAGAGGCGAAATGACTGAGAAGTGATTAAG